GGACATATGTGCTGACAGTTCGTGGACATATGTGCTGACAGTTCGTGAACAGATGTGCTGACAGTTTCCTTTAGAATCCTCTGATACTGTACTTTTACCATCACAAATATGTAACATTGGATCATTCTCCTCAGTAAATAAATGACCAGGTATAATATTTTAGTCTCATTTGTTTAACTGGGTTCTCTTGATCTACTTTTAGGACTTGTGTGAAAATCTGATGATGTTTAGATCATATTTATACAGAAATATAGAAAATTATAGAGACTAAACAAACTTTGAGGCACCTCTGTAGCTGGAGTGAGGACAGAGTGAGATGGAGGAGGATGACTTTATGAATATGAATAATATAATATGAATTTATTATCCTCTAATGATCTCCTAAACACGTCTGATGTGCTACAGGTCCATCGAGGTGTAATGCCCTCCCACACGATGTTCGCCCTCAACATGGAACGCATCCTGTCTCGCCTGTGGCACCCGAGCCATGAAGAACTGGAGCAGGACCAGGTCCACAGACAACGGCTGGCAGCTAAAGAGGGCCTTCTGATCAGCTGAGAACTGAATCATAGGAGGACCCCCCCATCACTGAAACTCTGCCCAATGAACAGAGGAGACACCTGTGCTGCTCAGAAACACGGGACAAAGTGTCTGTTGCTGATCGTACACCAGCAAATAGTCTGGTTCAAATGTTTGGTTTGTGTTCAGCTTTAAGGGTGGCAGCAGCTGCAGAGTCCAGAGGGTGAAGCCACGGTTAAAATCCCAACACCTTCTGCTAGCAGAAGCCTAAAGTAGACCAACAGAAATACTGTGGACAACAGTTTCCTCTGAGCGTCATCAGTTCATCGTATTCTGAAAACCTAACCTGCTTCAAGGAAGCCGTGTGAAACGAGCTCTGTTGGCTTTAAATGTGTGGAAATATTCAGCTGTAAAGAGATTAAGAAAGCTGAACTGTTCAACTGCATTTCTGCCACAGCTTGAAGTGTTTTCTGTCACAAGCTGCCTGGTCTAGATGTTCAAAGACAGGAAGTTGTCCCATCACGGAGCAGAAAGGGGACTTGTAAATACCCGTTTGTCTGTCTTTGAGCTGGTTAACTTGAAATAGAAGCAACGTACTGACTTCCATTCTGGTGTGTTGCAGTCTGCATCTAGCGTAAGAAAGGTCCCGATCGAAAACAGGTGCCACTCAAAATCCAAAATGGCTGCCACTACAGTATATATGTAAACTGGCCACCCTTATCATTTGAGGAAACTGTTTCCTACTTTTTATTTGGCTTAAAAATAGTTTATTTGAAAGACTGTAATGGCTGAAGGTTAATCTATGGGGGCCACGGCCACTATTTAAACCCCCCCCCCCACACACACACACACACACACGGCTCTGTCACTCGCCTCGGACAAAACAAAAACACCTCCCTCTCCTCCACAGTGTAACTTCTACACACTTCAATATCTTGCACCAAGAACATTTTTGCTACATTCCCTGTTCAGTTCTAGAAAAACACTCATGTGAAGGACCACAAACATCCAGAGATGGACCAGAGTCCTGCTCTGTATCCAGATGTTTCAGGGACCTGGAAAGATTCACTCGTTCACACGAACAGACTTGTTTTGACTTCCTGCTTCAGACGCAGCAGCCATGTTTCTCGTTGTAAATGTTGGTTTCTAAACTATTATTTTGTGAATGAAGTGTTTTTTATGCTACGTAAATATAAATTAAACACCTCTGTCACGTATAGTGAAAGTCTAATTAGTATTGACTACAGCAGGGTTTCAGACAATGCATTGAGGGCGACAAAGATAGCGTTACTACCACTGATATATTTTACCTGTTTGTTGGATTTCAATTCAATTCAAAAATACTTTATTAATCCAAAAGGGAAATTATTTGTTGTAACTCGTTATCCTCATTTCATTAAGAGATGTTATAGACACGGATGGATGTAGACAGGAAGGATCTCTTGTAAAGGTCCATCCCACAGTGGATCCTAAGAAACTGGCTGCAGATGCCGTCTGATCCGTCCACCCAGACTCTGCTGGACTCGCGGTTCCCCCGGGCTGTAGGACCGTCTGAATGCCGGGCAGAACTCCTCCCAGAGCGATGGCCACTCCTCGCAGCAGTCTGCTGAGCTCCTCGTCGCTGAGGACAGCCAGCTGTAGGTGCCGAGGGACGATCCTGTTCTTCCACTGTCATGAGCCGTGTTTCCTGCTAGTTCCAGGATCTCAGTGGTCAGGCACTCGAGCACAGCTGGCAGGTAGATGAGAATGCATCCACAGAACATCTTTTTCAACTCTTGAGATTTGGGGCAGTAGTTGAGATATTATTTGAGCTTTTGAGATGTTAATCAGCTGCTGGTTGTAGAAAACTGCCTTGTTGCCATGGTTACGCATCATAACAAATGGCCAAAACTAAAAAGTTTCAGTAAAAATCCTTCCAGCTGCACAGCAACTGGTACCAGAGGAAACAATCATCCAAAAAATGTGATTTACATCCAGAAAAAGAGGAATTAAAGTTTCAAAAAGCAAAATCTCAGAATGAAAGTAACAGAGCTGCTCCAACATGCAGCCACCTTGAGTGGTGCAATTCTAGAACAGATTTATTGTTCTGGACAAAGTTTTACGAGGCCTATGCTAGATTATCTGAATGTTAGCTTGAGAGGCACGTAGCTAATAACATCAGGTTGGAGGATTGAAGAGAATTTGTTGATTTTTTTTAAACATTTCTTATTTTACAGATCAGTTAAAATAAACTTACCATGCTCTGTTAGTGTTCAGTAAAACACCACAGTATTGCTCCCTGCTTCTGCTGTGCTGAAAGTGAACGGCCACGAATTGAAAGTTGTCTTCTGGCGCCCTCTGCTGGATACATTGTGTAATTACAGCTGTTAACAACATTTCCTCAAACATTCCAAGACTAAAACAATTGGACTTTATTTGTAACAGAAGACGTTTCGCTTCTCATCTGTGGAGAGTTGTCAACGTCTAGTTGTTTTTGTCTTGAACTTTTTTGAATTTACCATGTCCTGGATGAATCCTTCAGCGTATTTCCAGCATTTTGGGGGTGAAAATTAGAAGTGTATCTGCACAATGGTGTCACTGACACCCACATGTCCCCGTGCATGTCCACTGTGAGAGACATATTCTAAAAAATAAATAAAAATTCCAGAAATCACAATGTATGATTTTTTTAAAATAATTTATTTGTGTGTTACTGCTGCAAATAAGTATTTGAACACCTGCCAATCAGCAACAATTCTGGCCCTCAAAGACCTGTTAGTCCGCCTCTAAAAAGTCCACCTCCACTCCACTTATTGTCCTAAATCAGAAGCACCTGTCTGAGGTTGTTAGCTGCATAAAGACACCGGTCCACCCCACACAATCAGTCAGAACATTGAAGATGGGTCATGGCTGGGTCTTCCAACATGACAATGACCTGAAGCTCACAGCCAGGAGAACCAAGGAGTGACTCCATAAGAAGCATTTCAAGGTTCTGGAGTGACCTAGCCAGTCTCCAGATCTAAACCCTATAGAAAATCTTTGGAAGGAGCTCAAACTCCGTGTTTCTCAGCAACAGCCCAGAAACCTGGCTGATCTAGAGAAGATCTGTGGAGGAATGGTCCAAAATCTCTGCTGCAGTGTGTGCAAACCTGGTGAAATACTACAGGAAACCTTTGACCTCTGTAACTGCAAACAAAGTCTACTGTACCAAATATTAACATTGATTTTCACAGGTGGTCAAATACTTATTTGCAGCAGTAACACACAAATAAATTGTTTAAAAATCATATATTATGATTTCCAGCTTTTATTTTTTTTACATTATGTCTCTCACAGTGGACATGCACCTAAGATGAAAATTTCAGACCCCTCCATGATTTCTAAGTGGGAGAACTTGCAAGGTTGCAGGGTGTTCAAATACTTATATATACTGTGTGTGTGTGTGTGTGTATGTATGTATATATATATACAGGTCCTTCTCAAAAAATTAGGATATTGTGATAAAGGTCATTATTTTCCATAATGTAATGATAAAAATGAAACTTTCATATATTTCAGATTCATTGCACACCAACTGAAATATTTCAGGTCTTTAATTGTTTTAATACTGATGATTATGGCATACAGCTCATGAAAACCCAAAATGCCTGTCTCAAAAAATTAGCATATTTCATCCCACCAATGAAAGACAAGTGTTTTTAATACAAAAAAC